AATGTTTTTGTGGCAGTCAAAATGCTTCAGTGTTATTCTATGGGTCAAATAGTTGAGTAAAAGCTTTTGGCACATTTGGAGACGCTGGTGACACTTCAAGTTCAAAATCCCCACAGCAAGTTAGCTAGAGTTCTAAAATTTTCTGCATTTGTTGTTTCCATGCTGTAGAACAAATGTAATACGATGAGACCTGCTATTCTCAAGAATGTCTTCCAATATTGCTGTTAAAAAAAATACCTATTATTTTCAAGAATAAAAAAAAAAACAACTTTGAGTCATGTTTTAACTGATGCAGCTTGGTCTGTGTTCTAGTCACCCAATTCTCATTTATATATTCACAAACTAGAAGGTGTTAGCTTTCTAATAATGTATTGCACATGTATTTTGGGCTTACAGTTCCTAAGTTATTTTCTTTGCATTTGGGTATGCAAAAAGGGTGAGAATTTCCCAAAATGAGGTGGATGTTGAGAAGTTAAATATTAACCAAAAATATTACAATTCTTTATTTTAAATTATTGTTAAATTTGTTGTTTTAAAGTAAATGTTTTTAGCTGAACTGAAGGCAAAAACGCTTCTTTGGAAGGTAGATACCGACCCTGGAGAATCCAGAGGAAGTTGTTAGCGGGGAAACGGCTCCACCTGGTGGACAAACACAGTATTTGCAGCAGGATTTGAAGCTCCAGCTTCTTCAGCTATTACTTTTATCAATACTCCTTATTATGAACTGGAATAATTTCGTGGGTTTAATTAGAACTAAAGGAAATAACCTAAATACAAAACAACCAGATTCTAGAGCATTCCAGAACCAGGAACCACAGAAACAGGGTTGATGTTGAGAGTGAAACTTTATTGGTGGATCAGGAATGTTCAGGTAGGGCTGCACACGGTGCAGCATCACCTGTCAGCACCTTTACACCTTCTGATTCAAAAGGTCACTTCCTGTCAGGGAGACAGGTTGGATGTGGACTTTCATTCCCGCACCACCTCCATCAGGCCGATAAGGTAAACCCAGAGGGGGCGGAGCGACAGTCCAGGTAAACAGAGGAAGGCACGGGGTGAAGCTCTGTGGGAAGGTCAGCAAGCGGCGGCACGCCGTGCCAACACAAATAACAGGCTGGGGGCGAAATTGGAGAGGGCGGGGTTCGGAATGATGTCAGAGTTCAGGAATGTTTGTGTCATTCTGCAACAGGAACTCAGCTCTCTGATGATGTCATGTTTTCACAGTTCAGGCCCCGCCCCCTTGCCGAAGATGTCAATCTACATGCCCATTCTGATGCTCTGGATGATCTGGAAAATGGCTGCAGGAAAACAGACGGTCAGGTGAGTCACAGATTGTTATGAAAAAATTGTTTTTACATGTTTTATTACAAATAACTGCATTTTTTGTGTTAAATTTAAAAGTTTGTGCATTTTTTTAAGCAGCTAAAAGTATTTTGCTCCTAATGAACATCAGGGTGTAATACTTGTGAATTCAGGGACTGTGATCCTGGCGCTATGAGAGCAGCTGAAAGGGTAAACATGAGGAAGGATGATTACTGACTGGTCTGTGTCTACGGAGCATGCTCAGATAAACACAAGCCTGCTCCCAGGTGTTCCTTATCGATCGTTTCTCTCTGAGGTCAGGGCAACTTTTACTGTGAAAGGTCAAAGTGTCCGTTTACAGAGGTTTCATGACGTCACCCTGGATTTGAGGCTGCTGCTGCCATAATCCAAAGAATAATCTAATATTAACAATCTAATTGGAGAGATACCGTCTGGAGATCATGATTTGAGACATGTGGAACAAAGTTATATTTATTGGTTTTTCCAATTTTACGGAAATTGGCAGAAGAACCAAACTGGTCTTAAAGTGAAATAGTCTAAATATTTGAAAACAAAATGTGAAATCAGAAGAGAGGATTCTCAAATGTGATTTAGCCTGATTATTAAAAAAGAAAAACATCTGTCAGCAGTATGGTATTAATGCCTTAATACTTGAATGATCAAATAGATTTATTCCTTTTATCTAAAGTCTGTATTTTTTCCTATATGCAGCATGACTGGGAAAAAAGTTATATTGCTCTTAAACTGTATAAAACACTTAAGAGAAACAATAAAAGGCAAAAGTAAAGGTTTAAAGAACAAAAAAAATATATATATTAATAATAAAAAAATTAAAATGTGCAAATGTCTTGGATATGGTAGTGAAAAAAATGTATGCGGAAAAATCCAAAGGATTTTAAAATATAAATTAAAAATGTAATTAAACCGTAACATACAAATATATATATACAAATATATATACAAAATATATAATAATAATAATAAAATAAGACAAAAAAAGGGTTTTATGGTTGAAAAAAAATATAAACAATCAAATATAAAACTGAAATAAATCCGTTTTTTTACGATCTAAACTTCAGAAAATGTCCGTTTAGCTGCTAATAAATATGTTCTTCCATTATAACTCTATTGTTGTTTACATCCTTCAAGGCTATGGCTTTTAACCTTTGCTGCCCCCTGGTGGCTACAGAGGATATCCTCTCCTGGTCTCAATATAACAGATTTTATTATGTGATTTTTATATTAAATGATTGATGAAGTTTTGATTCAAAGTAGGACCAACGAGAGATCAATACGGATGTGAATGAACTGATGTATGATCCATGAGGAGGAAGACTCACCTGATCCACAAACGACAAAGATGAAGAGCGCCAGCAGCCATGGCCCCACTCCTTTCTCCTCCACCAGGTTCCTCTGAAACCAGAACAGATGAGCCTGATGATTAACCAGCTCTGATTGGTGACATCATGACCTGATCACTCTGACAGATCATCAATCCCTCCTCAAACTTGACAGCCTCAAGTTTCCCCTCACTGATCCAGATGATCCACTGATAAAACGTTCAGTTTGTAATGAATTGAAGAAATTATTTTCTTTATCCTACAGAGAAACAAGCAGCTGCAGCCAATGAGAAACTTCTTCTAAATCAATAACCAATCAGCTGATTGATCTCAGGGGCCCCAGGTCCTGTTAACGTGACGTCATAAAACCAATCAGATCCCAGTTTCAGCTCAAACTGGTTCGGGAAGGTCAGAAATCTCACACTGGGTCCCAGTTGAGCTGGGTCTGTTCAGGTTTGGTCACTCACCGTGGATTTGGTCACGTTCCCCCGCTGTGTGATGTTCTTGCTGTGCTTCTCGTTCGCCATGCGGATCCTCTGTTTGGCCACCATCTTTTCTTCTTCTTTGCTAGTTTCTTTGTTTCTTTGTTTTAGTTTATTTTAGCTGGTAACTTTCCTCCAGTGCTCCGCTCCGATGCCTCTCGGTCTGGGAAGAACTAAGCTTTGTCTACGTACTCAAAAACACAAGTACCCGCCCCCATTCAGCGAGCCACGCCCCCACCAATCAGATCTATCCGCGTAAAATCTCTGATCACCAAAGGAGAACTTCCTGTGAACCCTTTCAGAATAAAATGACTACTTCAGTTGCATTTGGACCTGAGTCACTGAAGTGTTACTGATTAAATTATCCTATTTTTTTTCCCCACTATGTCATAATCATAATAAAAAAAGTGTTCTTGCAAAGTAGTGCTTTGCACATATGATGAATGTGTTTTGGTGGCAGATAACTAAACATAAAATAGACAAAAAATAAATCTGGAAAATATCATTTGGAATAAAACATTAATAATGGTAGAGCATCATTGCAGATATTAGCAATTTAACTCAGTTTATTTACACCAATTCACATTATATGTTATCTCTAGACAGTTTAAGCAGTTTATTTAAATAAACAATAGCAATTACATGAAATTAGATACAATTTTAAGTTTATTTATAATTTTATTTATTTAAAGTTTATTTGCTTTTTTTTCCGTATCTGATTAAACGATAGCAGGTACAAGAGGGAAACATTAAAAATGGCACATTATCCATCTCGGGTAGTGAACCAAGTTTTATCAGTCCAGAAGGAATATATA